AAAAATATTCTTATAACTATGTATGGTGATGAATATTAGCTAGACTTATTGTAATCATTTCACAATATATACAAATGTTGAATCATTATGTAGTACACCCCAAACTAATATAATATTGTGTGTCAGTTATATACCTCAATAATGATAAAAAGAAGAAAGAAAGAAACATGGCAGTCTTCAGCAGCTAAGCCTAATTTTAAACCCATACTTCTTCTCTGGGCTGAAGTTAGCACCACTTTATTAAGTTGGTAGTGAGCTGTAGCTGTCCCACTTTTCCTTTGTTCATCTGCTATTGATCTAAAGTAATCACTTAATTAGCCCCAGCAAGAAGTCTTCTTCGGTGTTAAATAACTCTAAAAATCTACTGGAGATGCTTGAGTGGCCAGATTGAAATTAACTTGCAGTTCATTACCTATAGACTAAGACATGTTACTCGCACGGCCTGAAAAACAAGCTATATTCTGCACTGAGAACAAATTCTTTTTACTTGTAGGGGAAAAAAAAAAAAGCATCCCTTTCAGGCAGTGGTTTTCAAAGTGGAGACCCAGTATCAGCCTCGTCTGGGAATGTGTCAGGTCTCACTCTGGATGTACTGAATCGGAAACCCTAGAGGTTGGGCCCTGCAATGAGCATTAACAAGCCCTCCTGGTGATGCTGTTGGGGAACCACTGCTTTAGACTGTCTCTCAAGGTTAGGGACTTGTTTTTGTGAGCCTACCTTCAGGCGGGGAGGAGAAAAAGGGAAGGTGGAGGAAAGAAAAGCATGGAGGTGGTGATTGAGGCCTGAGCAACCTGGGTGGGAAGTCTGTTTGCTGAAGTGTGACCGTGACCAGCAGTATGGGACTCATTTGGAACCTGGGGGTATTATTCCAGATCCTTCCTTAAGAACAGTGTGGGAGAGGGAGATGTTTACCCCAGGCCAGAGCGACTAGACAGAATGCTCAGAGAGTTACCAAAATGCTGCTCTATTGTTGAAAAGTGAGGACAGTAGGGCATTTGCTCCATGATCTCTATGGAGTACAGGAAAGCCATAATCACTCTGAGAGAGCCCTCCCAGCCTCCCAGGGTATAAACACACAGGGTTCTTAGTAACTGCTCATTGAATTGACAAACAATGAACCCTTAGAGGCCTAGACTGAGTTTTCTCAGCTAATTTTGATCTGGGAGAGTAGGTGTGTTTATTGGGCCTGGTCTATAGAGAACACCAGGAGTTAACCTATAGGGCAGCTACTGTTGTCTCTTGTCCTGTCTTCTGAGAAACAGCTTGGCTTGGGGGACAGAGCCCCAGGCTTTGTACACAGACAGTAATAGGGTGTGACCTTAAGCAAGTTACAAACTCTCCAAGCTTCCATTTCCTCATCTACAAAAGGAGGATAATAGTTACTTCCAGATGTTTTTGTTCAGCTTTGTAGCACCGGCACCGAGTACTTGACACAATACTTGACACTCAATAGGTGTTGAGTAAATATTTGCTAAATACTTATTACATAAATATTAGGAAAAGGAAGAGAGAAAGGAAAGAAGGAAGATTGGTTGCTTTTTGTGAGGCTTTATGAAATAATGCTTTGAAAATGCCTGGCATAATATCTGGTACATAGATATTCTGTAAGTAGTATCTGTCATGATGAAGAGGAGAAGAAAGAGAAAAATAATAATAATAATAATAATAATAATAATGATATTAATAATGGATTCAGAAAAAAGTCTTCTAGGTGTCTAGAGTAGGGTCTAGTTCTTGCTAACACCAGCGCTGCTCTTCCCATCCCCCATCCCTCTGCAGCCCATCACCAAGTTCTCTGCAGCCCATCACCAATTTCTCTGCAGTCCATCCCCCATCCCTCTGCAGCCCATCCCCCTTCCCTCTGCAGTCCAGTTACTTAACTTTCCCAGCTATACCTTGGGGATCACCTTACTTTTGGCTGCTAAGCTCATAGCTGTCTGGTTCCATGCATAGTAGGAGATTTAAGATGCTTTCAGAACTGAAATGAACAGCAAGTGTGCAAGTGTGTGCTTGAGGGTTGTTGGTGGTTGTTCCCAGTAGGACTCACCCATTTTCAATGCTATAATTAAGTAATTACATGTTAATTATTTTATGTTGTTTTATTTCTAGGATAGGTAATCATTAACCTTTTGGATAGCCCATTTGCCTCACAGTCATAGTAAGCATTTTTAGTAACAAGCTTCTGATTTGTTATTAAGTTACAGGGATGCCATTAGTTTCCTTCATTTACGTGATTAAAGGGAGACTTTCACCTTGAGAATATTTGGATATTCCCTGCCTTTCTTTAACTATTTCCCCCCTTTCCCTTTGAACATCAGTACAAAGGATCCACCTGTTAACTCAACAGACAATTCAGGAGAGAAATTGGGAAAGGTATTTATTAAACTTGCTGAGTACTTGGTTATCAATTCTCTAAAGAGGATAAGTTTTGGGAATCTTACCTGAGTTGATCCCAAACTCAACTGTTATCAACTTTGTGACCTTAAGCCTAGGTCCTAGGGCCTAACTTTTCTGAGCCTAAATTTCCATATGTATTATATAGGGATATTGTATGGATGAAATAACATTTGCAAATGTATCTACAATAAATATACAACAAAAGTTCACTTCCTTCTTTTGTCAGCACGTTGGCCAGAAGAAGCAGACCGCTAGAGATAGGTCTATGTCCAGACCTTAGTTTCAATCTTGAATACAGGGAAGGATGGATGGGAGGGGTTTCTGCTCGATGAGACATACTGTTCCTTCTCACCATCTGAAAGGATTGATGGCGTTTCAGAAGTATTGTTCTATCACTTTGGGTCAGCTGTGATGATGATAACCATGGGAAAAGGTTCTTTTAAGCTCCTTGCCAAAATAGAGTATCATTCTCCCCCACCTTTTGTATTTTGATTGTAGGTGAAACAGTAAAGGTAAGGGATGGGCCTAGAGCTTGAAAAATAAGCACGCAAAGATTCACAGAAGATATCTTCCTTGAGAATGCTGTCAGTCGAGAGAGGAACCCCTGTGCTGTTTTTGTCTGACAAGTACAACCATGGAAATGGACTCCCATACATACATCTGGTTATCTATTGTTTATCATAAAATTAGTGACTCTCTCGCTCTTGAGAAAAACAGAAACAATCCATTAGATATTTGTACCCAAGAAGAAATCAGAAAGAAAAAGAAGGTGATTGCTGGGGATGTTGTTTTGACTTACACCCTGTTCTCGGTTGCCTTTTGTATTTTCTCAGTGCAGGCCAGACCCGCTTTAGCAAAAGGAGTAATAGTTGGTTTTTCCCATATCAGTATCAGGAGGCTTTGTTAGTTCTTACATCTTCTAAAAGGAGCTGTACACTGTCCTTGTTGAGTCATCGTGCTTCTCTGCTAAGCTGGCATGGGAGTAGAGATTCAGGGCTGGCTTTCTGCACCCACAGCTCCAAACCGTGGCAGAGTTATAGAAGAATGAAATGAGAAAACTGATAGGCAGAAATGAGGCTCCTGTAGGGTTTTCATTGCATAGACAAAATGTAAACAATTGCAGTTGGCCTGCAGTGTGACTCAACTCACTATATCTTCACAGACTGTGTATTTACTTCTTTGATTGAAAGCCAATGAGTAACATCTGGAATTAGCCCCTGAGGCAGGGGCCAGGCAGTCAGGTGACATTTGCCATTAAAACTGAGATGGGACCAGTGTTTGACCTGGTTCACAAGTCAGCAACCCTCAAGTGAGGCGAAGGCGCCAGTACTTGCCATCCTCCCTCAGTGGCATTTTATCTTCTGAGCACATCCTGTTCAGCTAAGAAAGAAGCATCCCAGACTAGATTTGGGAACCAGAGAGCTTCCCGGTCTCAAGAAGTCATCACCAGTCATTATCAGTAAAGAGGGCTTGGACGAAGATATAAGAATAGCCTAAGTCAGATGTGATTCAATCATATTCAGTCTACTGATGTATACTGGATCAGAAACAGTGAAAGGTCCAATGTCCTAAGTAGTGGGTTGAATACATTCCATCCACCCCCACAAAAAAAAGATATGCCCACATCAAATCCTGGAACCTATAAATGGTATCTTATTTTGAAAAAGCGCCTCTGCAGATGTATTTAAGTTAAGGATATTAAGATTTTGAGGAGATCATTCTAGAGAGAGCCCTGAATCCAATGACAACTGTCTTTATAAGAGATGCACAGAGGAGAGGCACACAGAGGTGGGGGATGTGAAGACAGAAGCAGAGAGAGAAAGGACACCACGGGTAGCCGTGACGACCAGCAGCTAGGAGAGATGGCCCAGAGCCCCTGGGGGCCACGGCCATGCTGGAGTTTGGATTTCTGGCCTTCAGAACTGTGAGAGAACACATTTCTGTTGTTTTCAGCCACCCAGTTTGTGGTCATCCATTAGCAGTCACAGGAAACTTACACACCACATGTTGCTGATGGTGTTTGGGGTCGGGAAGTAGCTCATCAGCCCAGTTCAGGGAGGCTGTTTGTGAAAAAGAAAAATTCTGCTTTTGGTTCTTTGTAGCAGTGCTATTGATGTGTTTTATTTTTCTCTATAAACTCTACCACCCCGCCCCCTTTTATTAATATACCCGAGGAAAGAAAGGGCCTAATTCTGTCTCCCCACTTAAAGAAATTGAGTATTATGGGTGAGGGGTGTGCTTCCTATGACAACACTGAGAGCTTCCCCATTCCCTTTGTTTGCATTCCTGCCACTCACCCAGCCTGGCCCCAGGTGTCTGATTACCACATTACATGTTTATTGGTTTCCAGAAGCTAATTTTGCCATCTTAAGCCCTTTCATCCCTGCCTCTCTGCACCCAAGGTGGGAGGGGATGCGACCAGGGGAAGGTTGTACATTTCTTGCTCTAGTATCTTACCTACCAGAAAGGAAACTCTAAATCTTATCTCAGCCTTAACAAACCCTGGGCTTACAGGAATCACAGTAGTTCTAAGAGATCGACTTCTTGGTTGTACCTTTCAGAGGCCTCGAAACATCAATTTTTAAGTTAGCCAACACACAGGATAAATATTTTAACTACCATTTTATTTCCATTCAGGCCAAGGCACAATTTACAAAGGGCTCTACTCCAAGCACATAGACGGGGATGTGCAGATGTGCTGTGGGTGCTGTTGTTGTGAAGGTAGCCTGTCAGTCATCCTGATTGTAACGTAACCCTGATGGCTTCCACAAGTGCAATAAAACGCTTTGAGAAGGTTGCAGAATCGTAGGATGTAATAAAGTCTGCTTAGCTTCGTCTCCAATGCCGCCGAGTCCTAGAGAATGAGGCCCATTTTCTTACGCCTTGGGATTTGTGCGAGTTACTTTCTTGCCTGGAAATGTCGGAACATAAAAACAGACATTTAAGTTAGAACCCATAGCATTGTTTGAGTCATGACAATGAATAAAATGTAAGTTTGCTTATTGCCAATCTGTTAGATTGCTATTAACATTATATAAGAAGCCATATCATTGTGGGCAGGTTATGTGAAATGGGGGGTTCCAACCCTGCTCATGCCTGTACCCTCTGGAACCTTATATTTTCTATCGCTTGTGACCACAGGCCATGCGCTAGAGGTCAGCTGCATGGTCTCCTAAGAGTCTATTTTATGGACACAAGGCTTTCCTACAAATGAAGCCAATTCAGACCTTTAGTAATCAGGTAAGGATAGGTTCTCAGACATAGCCATTATCAGAATTACCGGGTGAGCTTGTTAAGATCACAGATTTCTCAAGTCTCTCCTCCGCGTGCTGACTGAGCATGTCTAGGAGAAGCTCAGAAATCTGTGCTTCTTCACAAGCTCTCCACATGAGTCCGAGGTTCAGCCCCTGAATTTGGGGAATCATGGAGCTGGTGTGTAGCAGGCTGGATCAGCTTTGCTTCAAGACCAGGTCACTGTCAGGATATGGGCCAGGCCTAAAACAAATCATTTCTACTCATAAAATCAGAAAGGTAGTGGCGGTCGTGGTGGTGATGGTGAATCTTACTTGGAAAGAAAATTCCTAGATCATAGACATTTCATAGCTCTGGTACCCTCCCCCTCCCCCAAAGGAGAGCCTTGCTTCTGGGCCTGATGATTGGTGTCAGGAAAGGGAGTGTGTCAGGAGCTGGACTAGCTGGGGCTACCAGCCTGGGGACATTGGAAAGGGCAGAGGGTTACAGGAAAGAAAATTCAACAGGTGGGGAAGAAAGATGAGGAATTCATGGGCTAAATTTCATAAAATTTGGGGAAGATGGAAAGAAAGGGTGCTAGGAGATTGTTGGAGAGAGGCTCTCTCCCAGTTGGGGGTACCCACGCTTCTGGGAGTTGGAAGAAGATATGTGGAGCCGTAGGAAGCGACATCTTTATTCAAGAAGCGGCATGCTTTTACTCATGGTCATACACTGATCCTCTAGGCACCGTTGGCCTGGTACAAATGGCCGGGTTTTATACAGTATGAGAACAAAGCTGGCACATTGCCAAAGGTGCTTACTTAAGACAGAGAACCATAAACATTTGTAAGTTGGACGGCGCCTGCTCTGCATTCCACCTGCCTCCTGCGGGTCACTGCACTGCCGCCGGGCTGCCAGGTGAGCGAGACTGACCGACCCTTTCGGCCCTACAGAGATGTTTGGGGTGGCTGCCATGGGTGTAATAAGATTTTGCATTATTGGGGAGCATAAATGGACTTTCCCTTCAGTGTTTTCAAGGAATTTCAGTGGTTTAAATTGCTTTTCACTTATTGTTTGCTATTTGTGGCTTTGAGTGTAACACAGACCTGGGAGGGTGAGGGGGAAAGACCCAGCCTCCTGCCAGTACCAGGGTGTAGTTCAAGGATTTCCCCAATGTGGGTCCACTCCACCCCACATGGGTGAAGACACATAGGCATGCATTTCAGCCTCTGATACATGGAGAGACTTTTCAGGGAGTCTGGCACACCCTTTTCCTGCAAGTTCAGAACAAAGTCAGAGAGCAAAGGGCAGGCAGGGCATCCCTTTGAAACACATCTGGTCTGTTCTGGGATCCAGAACACGAGCACTGAGTCACTTCTGCTTTAGCCTTCACATCTGAGCTTAGGTTCCGCCGATCCACTGATGTCTGTAAGTGAGGGGCGGAGGGTAGGGTGTATGCACCAGTCAGCTTGCACACCCTGGAGAAGGGGGCCTGTCTCATTCCTGTATGACATTGGGATCATCCCCTATTGTGCCCAGCACCACCCATCTTGTCTGGACATACAGGCCATCTCCCAGTCGTTCATCATTACCCTTGTCCTTGAACAATTATTGAATTTGAGTCAGAGGCACCTGTGCAGGCCTGAAAATGGATGTGCCCTTTCTTTTCCTCCGCCTTGCCTGTCTAGGGCAGATTTATGTCCTAGGAGAAGTTTCCCTTGGTTTTATTTTTGGTCTTTTGTACGCGGTGGCCCCATGTTATTTTCCGCACCCTCCCTTCTCGACACCAGCCCTGTAATTTCTGAATGTCCGCGGGAGCCTCTCCCCATACCTGAGCAGGCTTTGTCAGTCTACTTACAAAGCTTCCACAAGCCATCCCTCAACAGCTGTGACAGCCACACTGATGGCCTAGCTTCGTCAGGCTCTGTCTCCAGCCGTTTCTTTTCTCCAGCTAGCCTGGAAGCTTGTGGGGAGCAGAGTTTGCTTTTCCTTCCAGGGCAGTGAGCGAACATGTTGGGCTCTGAGAATACTGGAGCCCGAAGTTCAGGCCTGTCATTTACTGGCAGTGTGTGTGTGTGTGTGTGTGTCTAGGCAATGTGGAAACATACACTGACAGGGCCGTGGAGAGAACTGGGCTAACACAGGACAGCACTTAGAGCAGTGCTTGGTAAGTCCTCACTGGCATGAGTCTCTGTTATGGTCATGAGTATTATATTATTCTCTGTATTGCATTGCCAGTCCAGAACTAGCAGGCGAGAGTCCCGTGGGTCAAAGCAAGTGCAGGTAGGGCTGGCCAAGTGGCTCAGTTGGTTAAGAGCTCATGCAAGAGTGCGAGCTCTGAGCAACAGCGGTTCAATGCCTGGCCCAAGCTGAGTTGTCGCTGAGCTGCCAACAGGTGGCAGGATGGCTCAGCTAAAAAAAAAAAAGCAAGTGCAGGTCAGTGCTTAGCTACCCAGGAGATTCAGCCTCATTATCAGAAAGGGCGCCCTCTGGACAATGCACTTATCTTCCCATCTTCTGATTGGATTGCACATGCTATGTGCCCTTCTTCATGTCTCAGTTTCCATCCATATCACCTTTAGACAGCAGTGTTTTCAGTGCTATCTGGGCAGATCAACAAATGTATTGATTGACCTGTGAGTAAGGCACGGAGGAGGTGCAAAGAAAAGTGAATGATGATATTCTCAAGGTGCTTCCAACCCATTTGGGGAAATGCTTGGCACAGGGTGTGACAAGGCAGTAGATGATCAGGTGCCAGGTGAGCAGCCCAGAAAACAGAGAGCAAGAGCCCAGATGCCTGAAGGTTGACTGGTTCCCATAAACATATGCTCTTCAAATGTGTCCAAGTTCTTAATAAACATAGTGGCAGGTGCAGGGACTGTCCCCTCCCCCTGCAAGGCCAGGTTTGAGAAATCACAGGTAGTATGAAGTTCATTATCAAGGGTTTGTTTTATGAGTAGGGAAAGAAGGCAGAAGAGAAGCCACATCGCTCTGAATAGTAAAGAGATTTTGGGAGAGGGGAGCTTTGAATTTGGAAGGAAAATAAGCATGTCTAATGAGGGAGTTTAAATAGTTTTTAAGTATGGTTTGCTGCATGGTATGGATGGTGATCTTCTCATCCTTCTCTCCCTGAAACCTGCAGGAAAGTCTTTGAAGTCGATTTGCATTTTGTTGTCATGATTTAGCGAGTACAGGCTGAAAGCAGAGATCCCGAAGGGATCCCAAATGGGATACGGACAGAACCACCCTGACTTCTCCTGGAACACGCAGGCGCCATTAAGCTTCACAAAGTCTTTTGCCCCCCCCAAAAATGGGGCAGAATCCCATGTTTTCAACAGATCCAACCATGCATTCAAGGCAACATCATCTTTTTATTAAGAGTGTAAATGGAGGAGAGACTTGTGCCTCTTACTCCATTCCTCTTCTACATGTCGTGGGCCCAGAGATAGAGGGGCTCTTCTGCTTTGGAGCTAAGAAAATAGATCAATTCTAGCTTCAGTGGTTGAACCTGGATGGGAGCTAGCCACAGGCATTCTAACTTGATAGAGTGTAAGAGGCAAGTTTGGGACCACAAAAAAACCCAGTTCCTTCTGTTTCCTTAAGGTTTCCTTTCTCAACTTGGCTGCTCATTGGATTGGACTGGGGAGGTCTCAGAAAGGCCCTGCCTCCACTCCACCCCCAGAGACCTGATTTAACTGTCCCGGAGTGTGGCCTGGGCCTCTGGAGGGGATCACTGAGTGTGATGGTGAGATGCTCCAAGCCTGTTCCCTTGGTCCAGTTCCAAAGTGTGCTCCCCATAAAATGCTCTAAATGCCCCAAAGCAATTCAGATGCTGGAGACAGGTTTCAGTGGCACATATTCAGTCTCTAGTGAGGCTGTGTGTCTTCTACACGCTTAGCAGAGCCATACAAATAGGACAAGCGTTGTCCTTCAAAGGCAGTGATTTTTCCCACAAGAAGGACCAGAATGACCAGGGGTGACAGAAAAAGGGGTTTAGAACCAAGTAACCACGTTCCCCAACATAACATAAAACTCCTCTTTAACAGCTCTCTTCTTGTAAAAGTCTCTCTTAGATCCTGGCAGGCTAGAGGCAGACAGCTGTGTAAAGCCACTCTGCTCACTCCAAAACAAGGTGAGCAATTTTCTAAGGGCAGGTCCCCCTGACCTCTGCTTTTCAGATTTTTCTCAATAAACCGGAATCAGAAATTGGGCCACAAAAGCCATTGCTGGCACTCTCTTACAGAAAGTGGGAAAAGGCGAACGTGGGGGGGATTGGCACGGATCAGAGCCCTCTGATAGGTCCTCTGCGGCCACGCAATTCTCCCATCTGGAGAGAGGAGGGGTTACCCCAAGTGCAGTGGCCAGAAAACAAGCACTGTGAGGCTGGACTCCAGAGAGCAGGCCAACTTCCCCCCAAGTTTTCTGACTCAGAACCATTCCTCTGTGACATGTCGCACACACTGACTAATAACAGCTTCCTGTGACGGGAAAGTGTGAATGAACTTCCCGTTGAACAGGGTCCGTTTCCCAGTCCTCCAAGTTGGTGTCCTTGAGAGCCCAGAAAGCAGCTCAGGTACCCTGTGGCCAGCTGCCTTGGGAGGGGTGATACAAGGAGTCAGGGGCTCACCCCACGACTGCCCTTTACAGAGCACCCCACTCAGTACTGTGTTCTCCTTGAAG